GCTTGTCTCCTATCATGAATTATGAAGAATAACCTAATTGCATAGCGTATTTTGGAATCTACATATTGAGATCTTCAAATTGAATCATAAAATTATTTCAGAGACACTCATTCATTTAAAATAATATCCCAAAGACAGTTACACCTATCTATACAATGGCAATTTTCACCAGAATCCTTTCTGAATGCTAACTTTTGCTCTTGAAATTAGTTTGTATTCAGCATTTATCTTTATTACAAACAGTGCCAAATCGCTATTAATGGTTGAGATACAATTAATGTGCTCTTGAGAATAGGTATAGAAACTACCGCAAACAGAAATGTTTAAAATATTAAAAAGAAACACATAAAATAAGCTATAGCCAGTTACACCTATACCCCCACTTCATGCCAGTGCCATCAATTTGGCAGTTATGAGAATAAAGGTACCCTGATTGCCCAGCTCTTTGCTGAACATGGTTCATTCTTCCCCAGTAAGACAGCATTCCTAAAAAAAAACAGAAAGGTGAGCATTACCTCCCCAAAACAAGTCAGTATTCCTCTGTTAATACCAAATCAATAGGATCACAACTGAGTCCTATATTTCTCTTTTAGGAAAAACAAGACTCTATTACAAGCAACCAATTTGATTAATACAAAATAGATTTACTTCATTGATGAAGCTCAACAGTATATGGAGGGTAGATTTACTATCCCCAAAGGAATTTTACCTTTTTCTTAAAAACACTGAATTTATTTGTCTATCCACAATTCATTTGGAAATTGATAGAAAGCAGGAGGTGGAAAAGACACCAACTGAAATTCATGAAAATTCAATTTTTGCTCTGCCTCTTTTTATTATTTAGCTATTTGACCTCACATAACCTGTCCAAAGTGTGTACCTCCATGTAATTCCCTCATCTGTAAGACAATTATGACACCTGCCTAGAGTACTTAACCAAGAAATAAAGAGAATCAGAGAGAACCAATATGGCGACATAGGTAAACACCTGAACTTGCTGCCGCGCACAACCACATTAAAACTACAACTACCAGACAAAACGAAGACCATCCAGATCCACGGGAAGGGTGGCTGAGTGGAAATTCTACAACTAGAAGGAAAGAGAAAAGCGCACTGAGTCCGGCAGAAGGTGGAGGTATGGAGGTATGGAGGCACACGAAAGGGGCTGGCAGTTGGGTACACTGTTGTCTTTTTCAATCAGGAGGAAGATACAAGCTCCCAACTGCTCTGAACTCCAGCTGCGGGTGAAAATTTGGGGACCCAGACTCATACTGAAAGAAACTGTACTGTCTGGCATCGGGCCAGAACGTGAGGGCAGCTTCCTCGCAGAACTGCTTGCAGCAGTCATTGTTCCTGCATGGGGCGTGGGACACAGACCCCAGGACCTCTCCAAGGCAAAGCAGACTGGCAGCCAGTGCTGTTTGCTCCGCCCTGGTGATTCCCTGAGACCCCGCCCCACCCAATTTACATCCCCACCCAAGCTGTGAGCAGAGGCTTTTGCATACTAATGGCCTGGCCTTTCTCCTCCTAAAAACCTGTCAAACTGTAGCTGGGTCAGAGAATCCCAGAGATTCCAAAAGAAGGCCTAAGGCTCCTCAGAATCCCAGTTCCAAAAGAAGGCCTAAGGCTCCTCAGCAGCCTGCATTACTTCACAGCGGCCCCTCATCTGGCACCTCAAACTCCAAACAAAGAGGAGGAATCTGCAGATCTCTGTAGCTTCTGCTGGGTGGCCTCAGGCAGTGGTTGACTTTGCCCCTCCTTGGAGATCCAAGAGCCAGTCTACCCAGCGGTCAGAGGGAGACCATCCAGATTACAACTCTTCACATCCATAAGAGACACACTCAGGGGGCAGACTCAGTGAGCACCAAAGCCCCACTGAAGCAACTCCTGCCCCATAAGGGTGTCTCCAGCACAGAAGTTCTCCCATTGTAGACACAACTGGTCCTCACAGCCAATTGACCTGGAGGTCAATTCCTCCCAATGATACCAACAGCAATCAAGGCTTAACTACAACAAGACTCTGCACAAAGCCCACAAAGGGGTGCACCAAGAGTGTCTACCTCAGGTAATTAGGGAGGCTGAGCCACTGGGCCCTATAGGACACCT